AAAATTCTCTAATCTCATGAAAGGAAAATTTGAAATGAGTATGATGGGAGAACTGAATTATTTTCTAGGCTTACAAGTTAAACAATGTCCTGATGGGATATTTATAAACCAAGCCAAATACACAAAAGATCTGATCCGAAAATTTGGCATTGATGGAAAAAGTTCCGTCAAAATACCTATGAGTACATCACTTAGGATGGACATTGACAATGAAGGGAAGGAAGTTGATCAGAAAAATTTTCGTGGTATCATTGGCTCTCTTCTATACCTAACAGCAAGCAGACCTGACATCTCGTTTGCTGTTGGTGTATGCGCTCGCTTTCAGGCTAAACCGAAAGAAAGCCACCTAAGTGCAACTAAAAAGATATTACGATATCTTAAGGGCACACAAAGTGTCGGTCTCTGGTATCCGAAAGAAGGATCATTTGATCTAATCGGATACTCAGATGCAGACTTCGCAGGTTGTCGAATTGATCGAAAAAGTACCTCAGGAACATGTTAGTTCCTAGGAGGAAGGATTGTGTCTTGGTTTAGCAAGAAACAACATTCCATTGCTACTAGTACGGCTGAGGCCGAATACATAGCAGCTGGAAGTTGTTGTGCTCAAATCTTATGGATGAGACATCAATTAAGAGACTATGGGATAAATGCCCAAGAAGTGAGCATTAAGTGCGATAATACAAGTGCTATAGCAATCACACAAAATCCGGTTCTACACTCTCGGACCAAGCACATTGATATCAAGTATCATTTTATTCGTGATCATGTTGAGAAGAAAGATATTTCTCTCGAATATGTCAATACCGATGATCAACTGGCAGATATACTCACTAAACCTCTGAGTGAGACAAGATTCTCTTTATTAAGGCATGAGATCGGAATGATTGAAATGACCTAAAATTCAGAGAATCAAATCTGTAAAGATTCGTATCCTTGATTCTCGCAAGATTTGATCCATCCTTACACGCAAGTATCATTATAAATAAGGTATACTAATTGTTTGAGCATACATCACTAACAAAAGTTCTAGTGTTTGTTCTTGCAGGTATGAGTACAGGTAGTGAAAGAACCAACACTGAGAATCAAGGTGGAAAAAGTGAGATCCTTAATGACAAACTCATCACCCAGGAGGAAGTGAACAAGTTCATGGAACGCTCTCAACATATTCAGAGTCTTCTTCGGGCTCCAACAGACAAAGAGTCAAAAGAGCTGTTTCCCTCTGCAGGCAATTCTATTGGATATGCCAAAGAAAACAGTGTGCTGGACAAAAGCGACAGTTTCGACTATTCACCGTCCAGCACCCCTCCTAAGATGCCCTCACCACTCAAATCCACCGCCAGCAGCAAGAAAAGGAAGATCTAAATAACTTTGTCCTTTTCTTAATATGTGATGTTATTCCACCATGCTTTATAATGAATCACCTTATCCTTTCGTGTCTCTTTGTTTTCGTGTCTCTCATTTGCCTATAAAATAGTTTCGCCATGCATAAGACACACTCACTTCTTTCTAAGAAAAAGGATTGCAGGTATGAACAAAGGGAAAGGAAAAATGGACGAAGCAGAAAAAAAGGGCTACTCGTCTGAAGCATCACTTACAGGAAGCAAGCAAGCTCCCTAATGCCACCATCATAAGCTTGAAAGAAGAAGGAGAGATGATCAACGTAACCTACTCAATGCCTAACACCTTCTCTGAAAAGGAAAAAGAGGTTCTTGACAGTCCTGTGGATGAATCTAGGGCCAAAAAGGAGTACCATCTGGAACAAGCCAGACGGCTTGCCCATGAGAGAATCATGGTGCTGAAGAGATCCAACAAAGACTCTTCGTCGACACCAACCTTTCGATGGTATCCCACTCCTGAAGTTCCTCCACCCAATGTTCAATCCTATGAGGATTTCTCAAGGGTCCACTCTCGGTTCACAGATCAGCCACCCGAACCCACTCTCTCTCTGGAAGAGTTGGATGAATACGCCAAAACAACAAATCTGGCTGATGTGACTGATGAGATGACCCGATTGGAACTTCACGTGCCCTATCGTTTCCTTTGAACCGTAGTAGGTTGAGCTTTTTATGTTTAAGCCTCTCTCTCTTTCTATCCTGTATGTCATGATGGTTGTGTTAACCAAATAAATGCATTGCATACGTTTTCTTATGATTTCGGTTTACAGGAAGGATTACTGTTGAATGCATTTATTACAAGTTATATCTGGTCAAAAAGAGTACAAAAATTCATTATGAATTTATTGAATGCTAAGCACATTGGAACTCGAGCCTTACAGAGAATCAAAATTTTAGTCTCAACTGAAATCAGCATTCTCTTGACCACATTTATGAGCATTGATTGCAATGTTGATAAACTTTCTGATAAGCCCTTCAATCCTTGGCTATAAAAAGGGAGAGAATTTCTCACAACTCTCACCATCTCCTCTCTCTCTCAATGTCACCTAAGAAAAGGTTCACAAGAGGTGACTCTCGCAAGCTCCAAGAGGCCGCTAGGCGCCTCAGGGAGGAGCAAGGTGACTTATACCCAGGCAATAGTCCTAATGTTCCTATCAATCTCGTCTCTGATTCAGACTCATCGTTTCAATACGATGATATGGCTGGATTCATCGTTGAATCAGAGAATGAAGAAAAGATCTCAAAAGATCCAAGTGAGACAATCCCAAAAAAATGGATTGACAAGGACTACATGGCCTTTCTGGCACAAGAAAATCTGGAAGAGATGTATGACAAAGATGATGAAGCTGAGTCCTCTACTGGTTCCAACTTTCCGCGCTATAAAAGATGGTATAGGGAAGTATTTGGAAGGATGAAGAAAGATAAGCCTGAATGCTCTTCATCCAAGAAGGTTGAGAGGAAGAAAAAGTGATTCTCTGAAAATCATCATCTATGTTTCTGTATCTTCTCTTCTCGTTTGTTGAATAAAAGCTTGCCTATCTATGTGCTAATAAGATGTCATGTTGTATCTGTGTAATCTTGTTGAAAGCCTTAAAAGTTTGTTCTGACCGAAACTTACTTTTTTTCTTTTTTCAAAAATCCCAAGAAATAATTTTGTTCAAGGATTTGACCACCTTGAACAAAATAGTGAGAAAAATATTTCCTAAAGGAGATATCATGAAATGATCTCATGATTCATCTAAACAAATCTTGAAGACTGATCAGTTACCAATCTTTCGGGTGACAATGTTGTTTATCATGAATCTCTCGGGCAACATTATGTGCATCTTATGAAATTCAGAACAACTTTCGGTTTTTTTTTAATCGTACTTAATACGCTATTCCTTTTTGAATCTAAAACCGTTCATAAAGTGTTATTGGGATCATACGGCCGAGAAAATCGCCACTATCCCACTAGTCTGACAGGACAACGACGTGTATTTAATGCACCTCTCAGCACTTGAGTGCTTTTCTCTCTCCTCATTAAATGAGGGAATGATCGTTTCAGATCTGCACACGTTCTTATCACATATCCATGATGATCAGTTACCTCTTGAGGAAGTGAACCGCTGAGTTCCTTTTCGAAATTCGAATAAGTTTTCTTAACGGGCTGATTTGAGGACACCAACTCGGAGCTTTATAAACCCTGCTCAAACCTTCATTCCGTCTGTTCTACATCTCTCAAAAATACATCCCTTCCTCTCAAAGCTCTCTATAGTCAAGCTCTCTATAATCAATGGCGGCTCCTTCCGAAAAGAATCCAGAGAACCCTGAACCCTCATCCACTCCAGTAATACCAAGTTTTCCCACGGAAGACATAGAGTTTATCAAGTCCAGAATTCCATTTATAGTAGGAGGAAGTATGTGGGACGAAGAAGGGTTTCGCAAGTATGTCTTGGATAAAGCCTTTGGAGAACGGATAATCGCTCTTTTGTTAGAAACAGGTTTATATGGTTTGATAACTCATCACTATGATGAATGGTACCCTCTCGACATTACTCAGTTTTATTTAAATGCGTATGTGGCTTCTGATTTCTCGAGCATAACCTCAAGAGTCAATAAACATCACATTGTGTTTACTGCTGAGGATATTCGATCAATTTTGGGTTTCCCAGACGAGATGAGTCCTACAAATCCAACCTGATTTATTATCATCTAGATCCGGAGGATTTCTATGAATCCATACGACACAAGGAGGCCCCTTCCAAAGATAAAATTTTCTGGCCCCTCAAGAAAAAATGGTTCCGGTTGGATTATGAGTTTGCAGTAGACATCTTCAACAAGATTGTGGACCACAAGACTTCTGCACAGATGATGTCACAAGGGAAAAGCTGAAAATGCTGCACGCCTTCCTTCATTTGCATAAGGTTGATTGGTCCAAAATAGTATTCAACAACATTGCCCACACCATCACATTCAATCGCAGGAGTCCTGGTGACATTACAAAGAAGATGGGCTTCGGTTTCATTATAAGCCATCTTCTTGCCACAAAAGGAGTGATTCTACGTGCTGGTGCTCCACCTGGTCAAAAGGTCTGTCACATGAAGCAAAAACCATCTGGATATGACAGACAAAAGGCGTTGGAATTGGCATTCCTCTTGAATCCAATCTGCCCAAAGGGAAGTCCAAACGAAAGTTAAAAACCCCCAAAGCAGACGAAGAAGCTCAACCAAAACCAAAACGGCAGAAACAAGAAAAACCCTCTTCTCGGGTTAAGACTCAAAAGACGGTCATCTCCCAACCAAAGACGAAAGGTGATCCTCCTCTCAAAACTTTGATTGTGCAGAACTCCTCTGAAGATGATGATGATCAACCTCTCATTCGTCTAAGCAAACGAAGTCGAATGAGACCTGCTCAAAACCGGGAACCCTTAGGAGCAACATCACAGGGGAAGACATCCCGAAAGTAGCTACCTCTGAGGGGGAACTGAAAACTTCTCTGCCCGAAAGAAGTCCCGTTGCTCACAAATCCACCAATCCGAATGCATCTCTTGTTCCTCATCCACAAGAACCTACCTTAGCAGAGCAACTCCTCCGAGAGTTGACACAAGAACCTGTTACTGTAGAAATGGAGGAAAGATGTCAAAATCTTCCACAAGAGTCGGGCTCTCCAGAAGACATCCCGAAAGCAGCCTCTGATGCTCCAAATGATGCTCAATCTCTTCCACAAGAACCTACTATTGCTGAGTAGGTAATTCTGACACAAGAACCTGCACTAGTAGACGAGATGACAGCTGCTCAAACATCTTTTGTCCGACACCATCTGCTCGTCAATCTTCTCCAGACCAGTACACCCTCGATAAATCTCTCAGAGAATCGATTGAAAGAGATTACAATCGAGTTCTACAATGGCACAAGTGCGCACGGCACCTCTCAGAACCTTTCTCGAAACTTTTGAAGCATGATCGACGAAGAAGAATTCGCACTTCAATGGCTTGAAACTCAGGACGTCGAAAAGGTTGTGCGAATTGAGGAGATCCACCGAGTGTACTCTTATAGAATAACTCATCGATCTCTCGGGAAGGACAAAGCTCCCTTGGTAATTCCTCTTCATAAACCTCCCATGGATCCAATGACTGAACCGAATTGAAACAACTTCGCTACATCATGCTGCTATCCAAAATTTAAAGCCAAAATGGCAAAGATCATCCTCGAGATCCCAAAGGCAGTGCTAGTGGAACGAAAGATGCTCATGGCAACGAAATCGAAGAAGAGGATGAAGAAGAAAATGAAGACGAGAACAATGATGATGAAACAGAAGACAACAACAGTGGTACTGATGATACTGATGATGATGATAATGATGATAACAATAATCAACAAGGAGGAGAAGGTGCTGAAGAAGAAGAACCAGAAGATAGCCACACTATCTTGGTCGAAACGGACTATGCTAACTGTCCACAAAGACCACCTCTCTTGAAAATTCCATCTGAAGACGAAGACTTGGATGAAGCATCCAGTAAAAATCCAGTTCACTCGTCTCGTGCTATCATTCCGCATCTGAACGAATCTGTACAACAACAACATAATCTTCCAGCTCATGAGGACAGAAAGGAAGCCTCACCTGAACATGACCACTCGATGCATGGTGAAAATCCGGAAGCACCACATCATGATGAACACAGGAACTCTTCTCCAACACACATTGAGGACGATTCTATCGCTGAGTCCCCACG